AAAGAAAGGCATTTTGTTTAGCTGAGAGCTCTGCAGATTCAAGAGCAGGCTGTGCATCTACATTCACTGATGATAGCCTCCTGGCAGACGGCACCTCTGTGTCAGGAAGAGATCACCTGGAAGGCAGGAAGACTAAGTGGGAGGCAGCCGCTGGACTTGCATTATGACAACCATTCTCTGGAGAACTGATCCAGCCTTTATGAAACCTTCTTTAACCTCATCCCAGGGTAGGACACCTTCACAAGCCCCCAACCCCACCAGGATGGAGACCAAACTTTCAACAGATGAGCAGTTGAAGTCTATTCTCAAGCCATACTCACACCCTGCCAACAGTGCCAGTGGGTTTTGAGTACCGAAAGCTGCTTAGCGTGTACTAACCCAGTAAGGACGTTAGAGTTAGAATTCAACAATGGAACGTCCATAAGCATCTGGGGATGCAATGTGGTGGCGCCCCCTGTTCCTGTGCTTACTCTGAAAGGCCCCCAGCACCAACATGATGCCTGTCCTGACAACAAGGAGCACAAGCTGCCTTTAAACTTCCTTGTCCAGCACGAGAGCCTGAAGGCCACTGCAGGGAGTGCTCGAAACCATGGTGCAGTGGATGAGATCAGAGCCAGCACTCACTCACCACGGAGAAAGCTGAGGCTTTTGTGGCACAGCCCGGGGTCATGTACTGGTTCTCCTGCTTACTGTGGGTCTGCCCACAGCCCATGGATGCTCACTGTGTTCTGTGTGTGAGATTTGGTGGCAGTGGGTGGTCCACTAACACTGGACCAGCATCCAGCCCCACCTTTCATACTTCCCAAAAAGCAGGGGCTGTCCAGGGCCCCAGGCTGCTCAGGGCCAGGCTTTTCTTCTGATGGCTTCAGGTCTGAGCACTGTGCCTGCCACTCATAAGAAATGATGGCCGTATTGGAAAAGTTATGATATAGGTTTATAAAGCCTCCATTTTTAGAAGAGTATGAGAGAGAGAGATTGAGAGAGAGTGAGTGCCCTCTAGATAGGACTGTTCACCTTTTGTTATTCAGATAATTTTTGTGTTTCTCAGTTTTTCTAAGAAATGCAATTGTGAATCTTACATAGAATTTATTAATGTCTTCCAGTATTTTGCTCAGTGTAAATAAAGCTTACGAATGTTCAGTATAAATATTTTATGCAAGTCTCCATAATACTTTCTTTCTTAGAAGAACTGGAGATGAAGATCATCCTGTGACTAGACACTAAGGTTAGAAGAATCTCGGTAGCCTTCTCTGTGTCCATGTGTAGATTGAACGTCCATGCTTTTATTTTACATAATAAGTAGTGTTTTTTATCTTAAGCATTTTCATGAAGTCATAATCCCCTGCAAAATGAATACATTCCCTAAACCTCCAAAGACCAATTGCAAAATGCTGGAGGAACTGCTATGCTGTAAAAACCAATGCGTCAGTTAGGTTTCCTCAGCTTTAAGCAATGGGAACAGTGCGGTGGAAGCAGCCGCTGCATCCTGGGGCTCCGGAGCTGACCTCCTGTTTCCCTTCCCTTCCTCCCATGTCGGCTGCGCTCTTGACCTAGCTGACTTCCGTCCAGAGCCAGGACGAGAAGCATCGATTGCTGGGCCCAGAAGGCCTTTGTTTCCACAGCTGCCACAAGAAGAAAGGTTTATTGATTTTGGTTTTTTTGGTCTCAGACTGAGGCTTCCATCACCCCACTCCTGCCTTTGTACACACCTGCCGGATGTAAAGCAACACGGAGCTGAACCAGACCAGAGCCGCCGCCTGTCTTACAGAAGTCATCTGAGCTTCAGAACTGAGACAGCTGCAGAATTTGCGACCTCTCAGAGCCCGTGTCTCAGGTTATCTTCCTGTCAAGGAGGAAGGGTCAGAGCCATCTGATGAGTGTCACACTGTCTGTGCTGGTGGCTACCAGGGGTGTCCTGAGCCGTCCTCATCTCAGGGAGGAATGGCTTGGAAGTCACCTAGCTGGCACCCCGCTGCACGCAGACACCCTGTACCCCACAGTGCTGCAGCCTGGGTCTCTGGGGTAAACAGCATTGCTCTGTGTTTGGGCAGAATCCATGCATCTCGGGATCCCAGGCTGATCTGCTTGGGGCCGACGTTCTTGCTTCTGTTTCTGAGAGCAGAAGATGATCCTCTTTCAGGATGGGGATGTGTTCTGAGTGGCCCAGAGCGTGGGGAAAGTGAGGTTCTAGCACTTCTGCAGTAGGTCAGAAGAGCCCTGGCCACTTTTGCTCAGCACCTGGGGACCCTCTGTCCTAGGAATCCATCTGTCCTCAGTGCCACACTCAAAGAAGCCCAAGGTCTGCTAAGCAGCCTGCTGGTGACCTTCAAGGCTACCGGGCTACAAGCTCACCCACAGGATCATCAGAGCAGAAGAGGAGGAAGGGAGGATAGTTAGGGTTACAGGAGAGGGGCAGGAGGGGCAGGAGGAGGGAGAGGTGAGGGAGGGCACAGTGATGGCAGTGGTGGGTACAATTAGGGCCGCACGCCACCGCTTACCCAGCAGGCGCTGTGCACCGCCACGCTGTGACCTGCGATGTCTCACTGGGATCCCAGGCACCCTCACCTCTCTGCGTGGCCCACTGCCCACGCACCTGTGATGTTTGTTAAGGGAATGGTTTAACTGCAGGAAGGCAACTGAATGAGTTCGGTTCTTCCTCTGGGAAGACAAGACGAGGACCCCGGGAGAGGACCCAGCCCTCTGCCCGGGGACAGACCTGGCAGCTGGCTCTGTTCTCTGCGGCCCTACAGCACCCACAGCAGCACCCACAGGAGTGTGTGCCCACTGGGTGGTGGCTGAGGAGATGGATGAATCAGCAAGGGGAAGCATGAATATGAGGCTTCCTATACTTTCTGTGCCTAGAACACTGGCTGATGTAAGGTGGGGGGCCTGGAAAATATATGTTGAATGAAGAAATGTTCGGATAATGGCCTTCTGTTTCATAAAAATACATACAATTCATGTCCTACAGGAAGCCTTATAGAAACCTGCTTTCTTCAATCCACATTACTTTTAAAAAGTACACCCCTGTTAAAATCAGTCTGTCTGTTCAGTTGTTTTAGCTGTGATATTTTATACCATGCCATGTGTTTATCCATTCTATTTTTAGATTGTGGTACTTCTAATTTTTCATTTTTTAAAATAATTCTGAAAGGAATAGTCTTTTGAGTATTCTTAGCGTTTTGCCTAAGGGGGACAACTGTTTCTGCAGTCTTTCACTTGTGATTTAACCCATCATAAAAGTGACTATATTGAATTATTTCTTGGCTCGGGGAGATGGTCTATCACTGATAGTTCCACGGGAGACCTGAGGGTCATTTTAAGAGAGGGAAGCACAGTGTTATGTAACGCTTTGCTCTGAGGAACAGGTTACTGTCATATCTGAGGCTTAATTTTGCTTCCCTCTCGAGGCACACCCCAGTGGGCAGTAGATTTTCCTGCTGGTGGTGGCGTGGAGGGGTCACTCCCATGTCCTGTGCATGCGACTGTGCTCCTGTGGCTGTGTGGCGGTGAGCGCGTCTGTGTTACTACGGCCCCGTGGAGTGGGACACTGACTTGTACCATCGCCCATTCCCTGGAGAACAAGACCGGCCTGCGTGGCTCTGGGGGACGTCTGGCCTTTGATTGTGACGCTGTGACTGCTCAAACCCAGCTAAGCCGCGCATGCTTCTTCATGAGTGATCTCTTTTCCTCGCTCCCCGTTAAATGAGGGGAGGGAGAAGCCAAATTGGATTCATTGAATTTGTAACAATTTGGAGTGAAACAAAATTAAAATGTACGTCTACATTTTTAAAGTTTGTGCTAAGAAAACTTACAACTTTACCAATGTTCACATTGGGTGGGATCCAGAAAGTACCGTGTGCGTTTGCTTCCTGCTGCTGTGGTATGGAAGTGGCCGCCAGGTGCAGTCTACGGGCACCGTTAGGGATTTAAGTTCAGGACTCTGCGTCAACCTAATACGATGCGTGCTTTGGGTCTGCTTCCTCGCTTTATGAAAGGGACGCAGAGAGGTTTGCCACGTGGTGGCCACAATTTTCCTCAGGACATTCCACTGCCCAGTGATGGGAGCCTGGCTCAGGTCCACATGAAGTCTGGGTGTAGGAACAGCGTGGGTCACACCTGTGTCCTTAGAAGACGGTCCCCGCTGTCCACTCCAGGCCACATGCAGCCTCCACACAGCCACCCTGCTGAAGGTAGGAAGGTCCGGGCCCGGGCTGGCAGTGGCCTTATTCCTTCAGTCCCTGCACATTTTGAGAACTGAGGGTAGCCTGGCCTCAACCTCAGGCGCCTGGTGTGGCAGGGACATGGGGTCCACACAGTCAACTGCCATGGAGGGAAGGTGAAGGGGTAGGCTGTCCCTGGCCCCAAGCATGCGGAAACAGGGCCTGGACAAAACGGAGTTGCATCTGCCATCCAGGAGCAGACAGGACAGGACCGACGCAGGCAGGACCAGCCCAGCGGTGGGAGGCTGCAGGTGCGCCCTCCCCTGTCTGCGGTGGGTCTCTAGCTGCCGAGGGCACCTGCGGCTTCAGCATGGTGCCTGCTGCAGTGGTGCATGTGAGCTGCAGCCCTGTACACTTCAGGGGGCACCTGCAGCTTGCTTTTCTGTCCTGGTGGAAGAACATGCACCTTGTTAAGGAAATGATGACGCCAACACCCACATAGTTGTGATTTATCTTGCTAAAATAGCAAGCCTGTCACAACACGGGGACCATGAGTTTCAGCAAGTAAAAGCTGAATTTCAGGTAAGAAAACAAGATGACATAGTGTCTAATTCTACAGCTTATTTTTGCATTAGACCAAATGTCCTTCTTCATAGCTCCCATGCGAAGTCATTTCCATCGAGCAGTTTCTCCCCTTGTCATGGTGCAGTGCTTTCCTGTCTCTCCCAGTCTAGCTGCTCTGTGTTGGTGCTGTTTGCACAGTGATTGAATTCATCAGGTGCTGGTTCGCCCCACACTTCTGTAGCCTTCACTTTGGGTCTTTGTCCTCTGGCTCAGGTAGCACCTCTCTTGGGGAAGATGAGCAGCAGGAAGACGCCAGGTGAACCCATCCAGAGTGCTGGTGACATGGGTCATGGCACCTCATTTTGGCAACAGCTCCTGGTGCATGAGCAGTGACGGCCGGGATCTGCGTCTTAGGGCTATCACCCATGGCTTCTCCCGGACTCTCTCAAGGCTGTTCTCACCCGGAGTGATGGCTGCTCCCAGCCTGCAGGAACACAGAACCCACCTGTGGGACAGCGTGAGCTGAAGGCGGGCGGCAAAGCACCAGGGTGGACAGGAAGGCTGCCCGGGGCCACTCAGTATGGAGATGGCGAGTAGCTGGGGCTGTGTGGCCTGCAGAGCAGCCTGGGCTGGGCTGGTGGCTGGCAGCGTGGGCAGTGGGCACGGTGGGGTCAGCACAGCACAGCACACAGTGTGTGCCGGAACTGAGGACCAAGCCTGTGCTGCAGCTGACTTCCAGGGAGTGGCTCCCTCTCGGGGGTGCTGTGCAGACCTGGGGGTCCACAGAATCCGTTTCTGCCCACAAGCAGCAGTGTAGACGCAGATGCAGGAGATCCAGGACTGCAGTGTTGAAGTTCACATCCTGATCCAGAGTCCTCTAAATGGGAAAAGGAGGAGCCTGGGAAACCCATCGCGGCCCAGGGAACGATCGTATCTTGATCCGTCACAGTTTTGAACAAAACGGGCATCGCTAGCTGATGTCACTGCACCCCGAATTTTCCAGGTGCAGTGTGAAAAAAACCCGCAGAACATCACATGAAACATTTTAGGTTGGCTGCATGTGAAATGATAAAATTTGTATTTACTGTGCTAAATTATTAAAGGTGATTGTATTTTCATATGGCTCCAAGATGTTTAAAGTCACATACACGCACCATAGCATCTGGCTGTGGATGGGACTGTATTAGTTGACTGAGAATGGAGGGCAGCTACAAGGACTTGGGAGTCACCACCTAACCCTGGACTCTGAATCCACATTTGTTGCTGCGGCTGCACCCACTATTTAGTGGTGTGATATTTGTACAGTTTTTCTCTCTCTACACCCTGAAAGGGTAAGGCCAGCAACTGGGGAGGGGTCCCATGCCTCACTGGGAGGGGAAAGGGAACCCACTCCTTTCCAGTGACAGAATAACCAAATTCATTGACATTGGATGGTTAGATTTTATATAGGCCTCTGCATGCATCTAAAATTATCAAGCCGCTGATAAATAGATTACTGTATAGTTTCACCTCTCACATTTTTCTTTTCAAAGAGGTGTGGGACTTGATTTGTAGTTATTATCTTTTTGGATATGATTAATTTAAAAATAGCATTGATGACACCATTTAATGATTGAAATCTTGAATACTTAAGTGAAAATTTATCTTTCAAAGCATTAAAATTGGAATATTATCAAATGTGAGGTCAAAATACTAGTGTAGCATGTATTTTGACCAGAGGGAATGTTTTTAACCAATTGATATACTCAGGATAGATGTATAATAGTAATTAGTACCCCCAGTATAGCTACTAAAAATTGCTTATATTTATGTTTCTAGCTAACTGGGATTTACAAATATCCTTTAAAACTGCATTCTTCAATTTTTAAGAAAGAAAACTTTCAAATTTATATGGACACCTGAGCATGCACTCTGTATGTATACACCATACAGATGACAGTGTGTTAGGAGAATTTCATAAAAATTACTGCATCTGAGGATGCATGTACAATGCTTTAGAGGCGACCTTGGGAGGGGCATCAGCTGTTCCAGGAGAGTTCCTTTCTGGGGTTCTCAAATCCGTTGTCTGCTATCCCACCCCAGAGCCAGGGCTTAGGGGTACCAGGCGGCAAGGCTGGGGCAGGCTGGTCATCTGTCCTCCTGTCACTGACACCCAGCCCACGGTCCCTTCCTGTTTGGACCTTGCTGACTCTAGTTGTCCTCTTATCTTGTCTCCAGACTTCGTGTCCTCCCCATAACCCTGTCCCTATCCCACTGCCTCCATCACTTGTCCAGTTCACGGACTTTATCACTTTATGAGTTTCCACCAGGTGTCCACTTAGCCAGATTCTACTTGAATAAAAATTTTCAGGACAGAAATCAAAGGATGTCTGAGCTAATTAGTTTACAGCTTGGCACAATTCCTGCTGCAAAGCCTTGGGTGATTTCCAGAATGGCAAGAAATTCTGTTCTTTCTGTTCCTTTCTCTTAAAGCATAGGATCCCCTTGGAGAGCTATGGCAGAGTGCAGTTTTCCCTGAGTGGAGGGGGCTCACTTGGGAGCAACTGACCATCTCCCCAGGGTGCAGGTGCTGGCTCACAGAGCACCATCAGGACTAGGACCCACGTGTCTTTCCAGGCTACTTGCAGGAGAGGCAAGCCCGGCCTGGCTGGCTGTGCTGGGGAGACAGGCACTGAGCATTCCTCTCCAGCCCAGGCAGCTGGGTGACAGTGAAAACCTGTGACTACAGCATCGTGTCCCATCTCTGTCCCCTGGAAGTAAGCATGGAGAGCCCTGTGGTACACAGTGTGGCCTCTGAAGGACTGACTGGTATGGTGGTGGACTCACCGTGTCAGTGTAAGGAACATCCCCCCAAATTAGCCCAGCATAGCTCTGGGTGTGGAAGGCCTGCCCGAGGACGATGGTTACCAGAATGCTCTCAGAGGGAAATGGAGGAAGGCTCGATCCTGCTTCTTCGGAGAGCGCCAGTCTCTGCCTTCACCTTGGATGTCTGCTGGTGTCCAGCACAGATCCTGCAGCCTTCTGGCAAGAACACTTCAGCCTCCTGACATGGACTGGCACGGGACCCTTCGCTGAGCTCCAGGCCTTCGACTGGATGCTTCGGTTTCCAGCACGCAATCAGCCTTTTGCACTTGACCACACCCAACTCTGTGGATGCCAGCTGTAAGCCAGTCTTGTAAATCCTTATGTATCTGTGCATCTTGTACAAAATCTGTTCCTTTGACTGGTACAGCTTTGCATCCAGCAAATGCCTCTAACCCACTGCTGCTCCTCTTTAGAAGTGCAGTGTGGGAATGCACTGGTCCACCTTGCTGGAACACCTCTCTGACCTCGCAGGGAGCTTGTCTGCTTATCAGTTACATGTTTTCTGTGTTCTCTTGTGGAGAAATCTAAATAACTTTTCCCCCAGCTCCTGCCATCCTTTACAGTGCATGTTCTTCCCTTCTTACTGCTTCTTGATACGGTGCTGGTGCTGAGAATTTCCAGCTGAGGGCCTTGTTTATCACCCATGTCTTCTGTGCTGCAGGTGTCCCATAGGACATCTGATTTGGGGAACTAGGGCTGATCTCATGAGAGGTCACTAAGTCGACCTCACCTAATTTTCTTCTTCTAATAGGGCGACCTTGATGATACGAAAAGCTGTCTTGCTTGATACGAAAATCAAGGCTGTAAGACAGGAAATGTAATGCGTCTGGAGAATCACAGGGCAGATCTGAACCCCATCACTGCCATTCCCAGGCTGCTGAGTCACCCTTCGTGAGCTCTGTCCCTTCTTGTGTTAAAATGGAAACGTGAGCAGCACCTGCTTCCTAGGCCACTAGGAAACAACGCGGACTGAGCACTCGCAGTGTGTGATGGCTCGGAGCCTGACACAGGCCCTGTCCGTGTCGCTTCTGTGTCTTCCTGTGGCCCTGCAAAGCCTTTCTCACATGTGGACCGAGGGGCAGAGGCAGGCAGCACTCCTTGGGCCGGGTGGCAGTGCCTTGCAAGGACAGCAGGTGCGGCAAGGGTGGCCTTTTACCTGGTACCAGTGCCACCCACCAGCCGCTGCTGAGGTGGTGGAGGGACTCAAGGGACCACAGCAAGGCTCCCCGTAACTGGACACCCATGGGTGCCTGCCTACCCAGAAATGACAAGGGCCAAGAGCTGCCTGGGGAAGGTGCGTCCAGAAGCCTCCGACGCTTCTCTATCATGAAGAAAGCATCTCTGGTCCTATCAGGAAGTAGATCTCTGATTTCTGCATGAGAAGGGATCCACTCCTTCTGCTCATAGAGACAACAGGTGGGTCTCTTGGCGCTGAATGGGGCCAGGGACAGGGCGACTGCCAAGGGCACGGGTGTTAAAGAGAGGAACTCAGGACGCGCCTGGACCCACGTTCTCCTCCGATCGTTCTGTGGCTTTTACATGGGGTTCTTCCTAATTCCACCTCTGCTGCCTGTCATTTATGAGCAGTGACTTGAATGGTTTTCAGTGGCACGGAGAGGTAATTTCTGCTCCCGCCGAAAGTGTATGGATCGCTTATATATTTCAGAATGCTGTGTGTAGCTTAAGGACAACATTGTCATTAAAAGTAATGACTCAGAAAACAAGGATCGTGAAGGGTGTTGTTGATCTTGCTCTGAGAGCAGCAGGTTTGGAAGTTCCTGCTGTTTAAGTTCATGGTGGCCCAGGTCGGCAGGGGAATCTCGTCCACAGCCTTATGGGTGGCCCTGTGAGCGAGGAGGAGAGGGAGGAACGCGAGCCCGTCCTTCGCTGGGCTTTTCCACTGTGAGATTAGGTTTCTTTTTCTTTGTTTCAAAAAGATAAACACATTGTTCGTGATTTTTAAGAACATCCTAGTTTCAAGCTTATGTTTTTGCATCGTGTCTCATAATTGAAGCCTGTTTTTATCTTCTGGTACAGAATTTCTTGGTGGGGAAAGGAACACAGCCTTTGCCTGTTTAACCAGCTCTGAGGTGGCAGTCTGGTCCGTGCTTGACATTTATAGATGACTGTGAATTTTTATCTTGGAAGGAAGAAGACCACAAGCATCTAGGAACTTCATTTTTAGCAAGGTTTTTCTGCTCCAATGATGCAGATGCCTCGGGATTAAGAGTTCCTTGCTGGCCCTTGACCCTACCCCTTCGCTGATTCCCAAGAGCAAACCCTGGCCGGGCTCTCCACGCTCCTCCCATCAATAATGGAAGGATGCAAACCACACGGTGGCCAGGCCGTGTGGTGCTGGGCAGATGGGCTTGGTCTCTCCCCTTGGGCTGGGGGAGCTCTCGGGTCTCCTCTGCCCCACTCAGAACCAATGAGGCCCCCGTGGGGTGGGTGTGCGCTGCCCTGCAGGGCCATTGCTGTTCCCACTCTCTCCACAGCTTCCTTTAGAAGCTGGGTACGAAACCAGCAAAGTGCCAGCCTCTCAGGGCTGGTGGAGTTACCCACAGGGCCATTAGTATCTTGGTTTTAAAAAAAGTGAAACATTAAATCCAATCTAACTTTTAAAAATTCCCTTCACATTTTCTTCACTAGATGTTTAAATTATGAACTCTGCATATTGATGTAAATGAGAACAGAACAGGTAGGTGGCCAAGTCCTCGGTGTACAACCCCCTTCCGCAGTGGCTGTGGTGTTCCCCATATGACCTCAGACTGTGCACGTGTATGCCTGCCCACCATCCACATAACATCGCACTCCAGTTCATCCGGGGTGCTGGGGTTGAAGCCCTTCTTAGGGGTCCCCTGGTTTCAGGCTGATGCCTTCTTCTTTCTGAGTTCTATGTTCATTGAGGGGGTGACAATTTCTAAACTGCCACCTGCCGCCCTGCATCCTGATTCCCAGCAGTTAAAATGTTCTGAACAGAGAGATGGACGGAGGAAGGAGGCAGGAATGGACGTGAAGGCAGGCCCTTCAGGGCAAATGCAGCCGTGGGTAGGGCAGGGCTTCCTGGGGCTGCTGGTGTGTCCAGGGTCTGCCCAGGGGCCCCTCCTCCCTCCTCCAGCCCCACAAATCCTACCTGCTCCAAGCTGGGGGGTGGGGTGGAACCTGTGCTCTTGCATTATTCTGCTTGCTTTACTCTTTTTAAAACACTTTGTTTTCCTGGAAAGGTGGTGCTTGTACATTTGACAGGAGCAGT